AAGAATGTGCATGGACAAACAAAAGCGTTCAGCCATAATCTCAGCACAGTAGAAGAAGGGAACCCAATAATCGTAAAACCTAGAAAATAAAGGCAGAGTGAAGGATGCACGTGGGGGAGGCTGTCTGATTTATGATGGCTGCAGAAGGAGTGCTTTGTCATGCCCAAGACAGGGGCTACGACGCAGTGCAGGCTCGGAGGGACATCAGAAAGAAAGGGTTCACACCAGGTTATTCACACCCTAGGCAGGCTGCATGTGTGGATGCCCCCATGTAGGGAGGAGGTGGCTGAGCATGTCCTGCAATTGTCCCTCTCTCTCACTCCACCTAATTTAATTGATGCTTAGACTGTGCTCGAGCCACTCTTATGCCACACCAGGTATTTATTAGAGAGCACTGGTACTATCATTCCAACACTTCAGGTGCCTTTTATTTCCTCTCACTTTCTCATCAGGCACTCGAAATCTAGAATGATCTCATGTACACCAGGGTGCCTTGCTCTCTACAGGTGAGGAGTGAGAGGCAGACATAGGCTTCGACCACCCACCCTGCCAGTCTCCAACAATCTCTTACCAGTGTAAGCACTTCCCTCCAACCCAGGCTATTTTTTAGGAATGTGTCTAATTTAACTGTGAATGACAAAAGTGATGAAGTTTATCCTGCTGCCTGGGGGAGAGCTTGGAGCTCTCATGGCTGCTATTAATAATCTCCCCACATGTTTGAATTCATTTTTGCTTTTCTCCATTTCTTGCACACCTCCACCATTTTCTGCCTGACTTTAGTGCACAGTGAGAAGAGATTTTTGAATCACACAGAGGTTGAATTAGAATTCCCTAGTTATTTGACCTCTCAGTCTCGGTTTCCCCATATATAAAGTGGAGGCTGCAGTGCCAACTGCACAGGGAAGTGTGAGGATTAAATTGGATCATATATGCAAAACACCTACTATAGTGTTGGTACTAAAAACGGGGTTGCTTTGGTTGTGGTTATTACTATTACTATTCATATATGAAGCCAGTAGCTGTTGCCGACCCAGCTGAGGTACTTAATCACCAGGCTGCCCCATGTTAAGTGCAAGTAATATCTATCTAGTTCACAAAGCAGTTTGTATACAATCATTTCTGTCTAATCTTTGCCCCTTGAGTGTGGAGACCACTAAGAATGCACCCTCAGGAATGAGCAGGAGAAAGTTTCCTCTTCTCAGCTCATCTTCCTGACACCCCAAGATTCACACCTCACCCGATCCTGATCTACTTGCTCCTCACGGGGGAAGAAAGAGGCTACTTGCAGGGAATTATGAATATTATATAACGAGCACTTATCTGTAATTCCCTTTGGGCTCCTTAAATGACTTTCTTATTCCTTTTGCTTCTGATGTGCAAACATCCTTCTCCTAATAGTGGGAGGTGGTTGAGAGGCCAAGAATGGAATAGAACACACCGAGGGCGGCCAGGTAAGTGGGTGCTGAGTTCCCTCCCTGACAGTCTGTTGGGAACTCAGCAGCATCTTCTGTCTCTGTCTCCGGGGCTGCTCTGACACCCCCCTTGCCCACGCCCACACTCTCCATTCCCACGAGCCCTCCCACTGCCCTCCACGTTGGCCACTGGACCCCACTTCCCACTGAAGCCTCGGCCCAACCTGCAATTTATCCCCTGCCCGCTGCAGACTGGAGGGGCGGGCAGAGGAATCAAGCGGAGAAGCAGGCCTCTTTCATCCGAGGTTTCTGTGATTGTCGGGTGTCTTTTCACCACAGAAAGGAGCAAAATGTCTCAGTGCACAGACACACAATATTCTCTCCTCTTTGGGCTGCTATATCCAGCCAGAAGTAGGGGCTATGTCTGGAGTTACCGCATAATACATATAACTTCTCCATCTTCTCACTGCCCCAAATTTGTCTGGTTTTATTAGAATCATCTACTGTCAGCTTAGAAGGGCTTCCTTTATTTTCAATGGCCCTCCCACAACATTTGGAAACAGAGTGAACTGTCTTCGTAAATTTCTGGGCTGATCATCCCTAGCTACCCAGACTCTTTACTAGAGACCCCACCCCACCCCAGGTGGAAAAACCCTCAGGCTGGGGGTAGGCTATCCTTCTGGTCTTTATGGACAAACATTAGTGGTACCAAATGGGTGAACATCTGGTGAATACCAAATAATAGAAGGGGTACCAAGAACAGAAGATCCCATGCTCTAGAAAGTTCCACCCACCCCTTTCTTGCAGTGTAGCTTGCGGGGAGATTCATTCCCTGCCCCACTGTGTATCCTGCTTTGTACAAAGGCATTAAAAAAAAAAAAAAAAAAAAGACCATTTCGGAGCATGTATATCATTGGAAATGCTGGCTGCTACAGCTTTCTTTCTTAGCAGTATGTTTTACTAGAATGATAACAGACTTCTCCCTCGCACCTCTCTAAAATGCTATGGCTGGCACTCTCCAGTGGAAACCATCCCCAAGTCACAGCTGGGCAGCTCAAACCAGGAAGCAGAGAATAACAGCTCTGCAGCTTGCCTGCTTCTCACAGAACATTTGGTGTACTGGGCAGTCCCAAAGTTTGTCACTGGTTTTTGGGAACTCCCTTAACAACAACATTATTTGTGGTGTTTAGGTGCCGCATCCTAG